TAATAAAGATGCTGCATAAAATTCCTCCGAAACCTACAGTAAATTAGGTGTTTTCGGCAGCAACTGCCTAGGGAAGGACGTGCTTCAGACAGTCTGGGACAGCAGTCTGACAGGCTGCCTTTCTTCTGCTTCCAAAACAGGTTCAGCAGTATCTTCGCATGGGAACGGAATCTCTCCACTTGGCAACCTCTCTGGTTGACTACTTCATCTCCCGCAGACAGATCGCGGAACACAACTACCAACTAGTCGGTATTACTGCGCTCTTCCTGGCAGGCAAGGTAAATGAGCGGCAGGCGGCCTCCCTACGGACACTCTGCTACCTGACAGAACACTCCTACATTCCAAAACAGGTAGGCTGTCCTCCCTTTTAATTCCGGGATACAGTCAAGCATCTTCCCGGTAGGAGGTCCAAAAGGAAATGTTTACATGCGCAAAGATTTGAGGTCCAGATATCTTTTCATTTTCATCATCCTCCAACGAGGACGAAGAAGAAGGTTCAACGACATCGGTCCATATCCTTGAACCTTCTTCTTCGTCTTCTTTGGGGGATGGTGAAAACGGAAATGTTTATATTTATTTCTATTGAAGAAAAGAAGAGTGAATTTTTTTGAGACATTTGTAGCACGCCAAAAGTTCCGAAATGCTGTTTCGCAAAGACCATGACACATTCGAAGTCCCCGGTTTTTTAGTTGGGACGCTTTCTCCTCAAATCAGGTTAACAATTCTTCAAACCAGCTGCAGGTGAACAGAAATGGATGAGATTACCCATTTTAGCTGGCAAATGTTTGCACGAAATGATCGCTAACTGTGAAAGAGAACCAGTCAGATCATGTGACCTCTCTCGAGGTTCATAGTTCTATTCCCTGTAAATTTGATAATAACTTCCTCCGGCATGTGTAAATGGACTTTTATACGGTTGTCTATTAGAATACGCTTCAGAATAAACATCCATATTTTATTAATTTTACGTGACCAGCCACGAACTCACGACTTCCATCCTGCTAGGGCTTTAGAGTTAGTATTGATCTCTCTGTGCGTTTATCGCAGGGAGTTAGGGTAATCTGGTTTAACCCTTGCCAGTGCGACCTTCATGCCCGGTACCTTAGGAATTTATTCTGTACAGAAGGAGGGGAGAATAGGTAGGAGGGGATCGGTTATCGGACGAGCTTAGGTCTGCAGCCGAGCAGACAGAATTCAAAATCTTGGCCTGGCGGCAGTCGG